AAGACCATCCTAGTCCAGGTAAAGGAAGAGGTGCCCCAGAATATGATGTTCTTGAGGGTGAAGTCAGCACGGATGTGGGTGTTGGTGTTGCCTCGCAATCTATGCAGATTGCTCCATTTGATATCTGGTATTATCCTGACTATAATTTTATCTTAATTCATAATGATTCGGTTACCACTATGAATACATATACTGGTGGTCCATTACAACAAGCTGTCTCGGCTACAACAACATTGAACGTATCGTGGTACTCTGAAGGTGACAATGAACATAATTATCAGGTATATGGGTACGAATATTTGAATGATGATGATGATGGATATTTGACCTGGTACGTTGGTATGGATCCAACTGTAACCATACATGCTTCTGCATTGGGCCCTAATGGAAATATTGGACGTAGATTGATGTCGAAAGAACCAATGTCGATGGTCATGAATTTTGGTATTTCAAATAGTTGGGCCTATATTGATTGGAACGCATTATTCTTCCCACTTACTATGAGCATCGATCATATTAGATTATATCAACCCGAGGATGCTATTAATTTAACCTGTGATCCAGATGACTATCCAACGTATGAATACATCGAAGCACATCCGGTAGCATATCAAAACAATAATCTTACAAGCTGGGAAGATACTGGATATGATTTCCCGAAAAATTCACTTATCCATAAGTGTTAGACTGTCAAAAGTTTGCTAAATTTTTATTTAGAAACTTGGAATTCAAGCATTTCTCCTGTGTAAATTTATTTATTTTATCATTAAACTTATTTTAACTACGACATAGTATATTTCTCTAGTTATATTTATGGCATTAAATACAATTAGTATACCTTTGAGTGTATAAGCCATAAATATCTAGGCTAAAAACGGTGCATATTCGAGCATACGTTATGCAATTACTGCGGGTATAAAAGTTTATTTACCCCCATACACCTATTCTTTCCTTTGTACACTCACTACAGTTACCCCAATGTGTTTTGATTTAAACCATATAACTGCCAATGCCTCCACGACGTCTGTTCCTAACCCCTGCATAACCTATTATCGTTGATTTGGAGGCGTTGCCTCCAGCCACCTGATACTCTTGTGGAGATAATGTACCAGTTCAGGCAAATTTTGGTTGCACATTTCAATTACATCCCTACATCAAAATGTAATACAACCATTAGGACGTTATTCAAAGCTAAACAGAGATGCCAGAAATATTTCCAAAGATTTTTATTCTAAAAATATTTCTTCTTATTGATAGTGAGACAAATCTTGCAAAACTTAAACAATATATATATATTTGTATTGAGTCATAATCTTCGAACAACTACTTAACTACAAATTGAATATGGCAAAACGAGATTTAACATATAATACGCCGAGACAGAGATATAATGAGGATTTAGGAGTTGAAAATCCATTTATTCTGTCTATAGGCGAGGAAAGCTCATTTGAACTGCATGATCATTCGTCTTCTAGTCAGCTGGTAAGTTATGGTAAAGTTAACAGTCATATGGGTAATCCGGTGTATGATGCTGGTTTCAAAAACTATAATGGGTACTACTCGAGGATCACAACAAACAGGAATTTCAATGAATACCCATCAGATGATCGTCAAGAAATTCGGGGCTCTCCAGTTATCATAAACAGTCAACCTTCCCCGAATATACAAGAACCACTGGACTATGATAGATATCCAAATATAGCTGGTTCAAATATGATTTCATCGACGTCACTCACATCGAATATATACAATTCTCAGAACTTTCCAAACATAGATGACAATTCTTCCACATCGAATAAATCAAGTAGGCCGCTCTTAGGGTCAAAAGACTTTAATCCTTTTGGTGGGTACCCTGCATCATCTTTTCCGTTACATATAGATGAGAAGGAACCAGATGATTATTTGCACAACCCGGACCCTCTTAAAGATGCAATTTATGACAAGAACAGATTTTTCTACGACTTGAAAAATATGGACAGAAGATCATTGGGTGGGTTACTAGGTGTTGTATTCTTAATCGTTGCTGCAGTGGTGGTATTTATCTTGCTCCCTGTCTTGACATATTCAGGTATTACTGATCCATATACTCCGGAGAGTTACGAAATTTTGACTTCATATCGATATCCCTTGTTGAGTGCTATCAGATCAGGTTTGGTCGATCCAGATACACCAGAGGATTCATTAACTAAAAAGACTTCT